AGTAGCGTCTGAATTAGCGCAATAGATGTTTGGTGTCTTCGAGGTAAAAAGGTGGGAACCTGAACTTGGCGTGGTGAAGGAACTGGGGAGCTTTTTCCCCAGAAAGGTATGGACTCTGAATGTTTCAATGGAGGAGATTGCGTGCAGGAAAAATTCTCTCTTGAGAAGGAGCAAACCTGGTTAAACAGTAATATGTTACTGTTAAGCTTTCAATGGATCACCCATGAGAAAAGTGGGAATGAATCTGCAGTTGGGTCATTGTTTCTGATACTGTTATCGTGATAAAGAGTCAGAGGTCAGATTCCATACAAAGGAAGGAAAAGGTGGAAAATTGGAATTTCCTTTACAGAAGGACAAATGTTGGAGAAGAGTTTGTGGACAGGATAGTGACATGAAATTAAATTGGAATGTCATTATCTACCAAGAAAATCATGCAACTTTTAAAATAATTTAAGTATCATAATGCCAAATGCATTAGGTTAACATTCATATGTTGATTAAGATAATCGAACACTATGAAGAGCAACCCAGCTAATTGAAAAAATTATAATAAACTTCTTATATAACAACTTGCTCAGTTGGTTAGGGCGTACTTGGGATTGTGTGGTTAGGCGCACTGGTCCGAGGTTCGATTCCCCAGCTGAGCACTTGTGATTTAAGTGGGGGGCCATGGCGTTGGGTTCTTGTCTAGTTTCCCCGAGAAATAGTCGAGGCTGCGCAGTTCTGGCCTGACACCTCTTACTAAAAAAAAAAAAAAAAAAAAAAAACAACTTGCTTTCATTCTTTCAGATGTTTTTAGCGAATATATCAATTCGCGGGGAAACCTTTTATAATTCATGAAAACGACTCTCATGCTATCACCAAAAGGTAAATCTTCTTCTCTTTTTATGATAGGTGCAGAAACCTTTTATAGTTTTTTCTGTCGCTGTCTTCATTGAAAACCGAACACACTGATTGTGAATTACAGGGGAAATCGGCCCATGGTTATTCTAACAACGTGGCTGCATTATTCCAGAGTATGCACTACTGTTCATGAACGATAGCACGATTGGAGTAGTTGTATAGAATCCATCATGATGATAAGCCATGTACCATAACAACTGTTTGACAAAAGAAAGAGGGGGAACTGCAAAACAGAATTAGAGGTGTCTCCAGAACTACTTCATAAGCTTCATAGCTTTATTAACATTGAAGTAATTATACAAGTAATAGAAGAATGAGAGGACATCATTAACTCAATTTATTCATTCATTTTCTATCTTCACTTTAGGGTCTGATTCTTCGTGGACAAACGGACAGTGAACTTCCGCGAAGACGCTGCAGGAGAGGTGCGCAGGTGCTGACACTTTATTGCTGGCAAAAGAACAGTCGCCATAACTCGTGCACAGCGCTCACTTTAGTGCCATAACTTTTTTTGGATCACTTTAGTGCTAAAATTTTTGAAAACGATCACTTAAGTGCTAACATTTTTAAAAACAATCACTTAAGTGCCAACTCCGGCCGTACACAATTTTTCGCGGAAATCTAACGTGGCATTTTTTTTATTAATTTCGAAGCGACGTGGCTCGCCGGAGTCTCGCCGGAGATTGGCACTTAAGTGATCGTTTTTCAAAAATTTTAGCACTTAAATGATCGTTTTTCAAAATTTTAGCACTTAAGTGATTATTTTTCAAAATTCTAAAGACTGCGTGATCCAAAAAAAGTTATGACACTTAAGTGATCGTTTTTCCTCCGACTTGACACCAAAGTGATCCGAAAAAAGTTATGGCACCAAAGTGAGCCAGCAGTGACAAAGTTATAGACTTATAGTGTCCTTTGCCCTTTATTGCTTGTTGCAAAGAATACTGCACAAGCCCAAAGCTCACCTTCAGTCAATGCTCATACAAACAAATGCAGCAGCAGTTGATGATTTCTACGTACGTATGGTATGTTTACTTTCTACAATCGGTCTTATATTCATGTCTTTGGCAAGATGTACAGATGCCATCTTGTAAAACGTTGATGCGGCCATCACTAGTAATCTGAATCTAAATATTGGATAAACATGGGATGTTATTCCGTTGTTCACAAGAGTAACATCGGTTCCTTCTCCCGTTTGTATATATTTTGGGCAGTTTGACCAATGTCGTATCTTTTCCACGTTCAAGTAATTCAGCGCTTCTCGACTGATATTTGATGTTGTTTGTAGAAGGATAATGCTTACATATCAGTCCCGTTACTCGTGCAAACAGTGACGAATTATTACTGACCACAAAACTTGCAGCTTGGAACCTTATGGAAATCTTCACATGTGATGATAGCGCATCCACGCTATCTTCACAGAAGTTACCTTTTGGATACAGGATGCCCATTACAAGATTGCATGGTTTGTCAGGTGGACGCCGTACCAGATTTTACGGAGTACGTTCATCTAACAACTGCAAGATCGCTGCTCCACATTAATGGGTTACTTTTCACCTTTTCTATTACATTATTGAGAAAGAGAAGGAGATCCTAAAATGTCCTGCTTGTGCTAAGATAAGGTCACATGTTAAAAAAGTGCTTCCGCAATCCATTTAGGCCCACAAGACTTGTCTTTTAGAACATCTAATGTTTGGCAAATAGGAAACAAGTGAACAGTAAGTGTTACTTGTCTTTCCTCCGTATTTCAAAAGGGATGGGATCGAGACCTTCCTCCAGCAATTTGGCCAATTAGTAATGTGCCGAGGATATCCATGTGAAGCTAATCTAGTCAAAATAAAAAGAGGATGTTTCTCTTTCCTTTTGTTTTTCTTTTTTTGTGGGGGGGGGGGGGGAGAGGTTTACAGTTGCGCAAATCAAACAAGCTAGAGAACTTGATCGCATTCGACAAGAGTTCGGGATCAAAAGTAGACTTAACCCGATATTGCCAAGAAGATATCGAGATTAATTATTCTTTAGTTGCTAACGACTCAAATCATCTCAGCTTACTTTTCATGCGGTCATACGGAATTTTTCAGAAGGGACTTAACAAAAAACTGTTATGATATTCCAGGCATGAAGCTGCCTAACAGCTTCTTCTGATCCTCGTGCTTTTGTTTTTATGTTGCCTTTGTAAGTGTTTTGTCTGTCTTCCGGTTAGTTTGAAATGGTGAACTTTGTGCAGGTATGCTGATCGAATTGCCAATGCAAAGTGGGACAGCAAATTTAATGATCAAGTATATTTATTTGTTGTTCAATAGTCACTGGCAATGGCCCTTGGTACGAGATCTGTTGGAGATGATAGTTCTTCGGCACTAATTCAGTAGCCACTCATCCAAATGAAAGACCATCTCAGTGCTTGGCTGCTTACACTTGATCTACATGATAAATTTTTTCCTTGTTCTAGTCTGACCTTAAAAATTTCTTTCGAGAAAAGTTGCCGAATGGATCCTCCTTTTCAGAGGGCTGCCACATTTTCACTCCGCTGGTCTCCTTTCTTTGTGGCGTTACTTCACATGGCGTCTTTGGTATCACTTGTTATCAGAGTATGTGCTTTTTCGGCATAGGTACATTGATCTGTTATTGGGAGAGTACAAGCACTGCAAGACAAGGCCTTGCATGGGGGAATCAGCAAGGAGGTAAGAGCTGGTGCAAAATCTGGTGGGCACGATCCTATAAAATTGGAGATGTTTTCCCAAGTTATATGTATACTTTGAGATCCGGAAATCACTTAAATATCAAGGGACTCGAGGACATTTTCACTTCGGAATTTTAGTAGAAGTTTACTTCTATCAAGTTGTGTCCGCTAATCAGGAAAGTGTGGGCAGATGGTGAGACACAATTTAAAGATACGAGGTCCAACATGCACTAGGTTGGATCCGATCCACTCCGCGATTAACTTTACCATGGCCTGCATGCACATTATGTTATTCTTAACAGAGTTGCGCTAAGATGCCTTGCTGTATTTTATACACGCTACACGGCGCTCATTGGCGATGATGATTATTGTTCCATTTAATTTTTCGAAAGTGTACATGCCTCATAAAGAGAAACCTTCAGTAGATCACGATAGGCTAGAGCTTAGGGGCAGAATGTTCTATTCTTCTTCCATGGTTGACTCCAGAATAAAAAAGTATGAACTGATGACCTTAGTATATCGCTGTCCAGAAAATTATATATTGACTTGAAATTGTTGCTGAAACTCTTACTGAAGGTCTGTCCAGGGTAAAGAGGTGTACTCATGAAGGACGGGCTCTTATGTCATTAGATCTTCAGCTCTTTCTCTCACCAAACATTGCCTCCTAGGGACCACATTGAACAAATTAAAAGTTCAAGAACGACATTGCACATTGGGGCGAAAGTTTAGGGATCACATTACACATTAGGTCATAGTTTAGGAACCGTTTGTGTCATTATCCCTTCCTTTTTAGGTGTACGCAAAAAACCAGAATGCCGTTAAATTTAGGTTCGTTTTCATCTTCGTCTTCCATAGTGTATATTCAGATATAGCATAAAGTAATTTGGTTAGTCATTGATATGGAATTTACACAAGGGTGTACATGTAGGTCTTCAAGAATCGACATCAACAAATTAAAAGTTCAATAACGACATTGCACATTGGGGCGAAAGTTTAGAGATCACATTACACATTAGGTCATAGTTTAGGAACCGTTTGTGTCATTATCCCTTCCTTTTAGGTGTACGCAAAAACCAGAATGCCGTTAAATTTAGGTTCGTTTTCATCTTCGTCTTCCATAGTGTATATTCAGATATAGCATAAAGTAATTTGGTTAGTCATTGATATGGAATTTACACAAGGGTGTACATGTAGGTCTTCAGGTATCTCCATTTGTAATCTATTAAACCGGGTTACACGTTGTATCATCGCAATTTTGCTTGTCCATGGAATGGACCCCGTGATAAAAGAATGCATCATCATGAATCAAAGAGATTACAACCAAGGAGGTTGCATGCGGGATGCATCAAGTAATGACTGACTAGTTACCCTCACTGCGAAAGCTACATAAAAACTAGAGGGTCACTGACAAATTCTTTTGCTGTTTTCCAATTTGTTTCCCTTTTGATAGATTGTCGTTCCATTTTTTCAATAAATATGTGAAATCCAAGAATGGACATGGCTCTTATATCCTGTTCTGAGAAGAACAAAAAGACAAAGAAGCTGCACCCTTCTTCTTCCTTTTCTTGTGTAGTAAGATTTGAGATATTTGACCATACAGAACCGGAAGCCCTCGCTACTGTCGTTCCTTTTTCTTATTGCTTTGGTCTTAGGTAGAAGCAGGCGACTGTGTGATGGCAGCGACCATCTCCAGTGATACGCAGGGTTGATCCACTGGTACCTGCAAAACCCAAGAAGAATAAAAGTGAGAGATCAAGAAAAAAACTTATCTTCTCATTAGATATGTTGCGTCAGTCTGACAGTATGTTGTTTTCCGCCGGAGTAAAGCTTTCACTGGGTGAGACTGACACACGACTAATGCCTCGACTTCCGTCTACATGATTTGCTTATCTTAGCTTTCGTACTCAATACATGAACTAATGATGGCGTTTATTCAACTAAAATAGAAGTGACTGATGGGAAAACAACAGTTACAACACCATTGCATGTTCAGGATTGTTATAGCAAACACCTTTCGTTTTGCACAAACGACTTCACTTATTAGCCAAAAAGAATCCATGAAATATCAATATGGGCCTAAGAAGCAGTAATGTTTACTGAAAATTTCAAAATAAAAAGAAAGGGATGTATCTGGCTAAATGCATGTAAATGGTAAAGAAGTTAAAAACTGTATGGACCGATCCATCATACCTATGAAACTTAATCTGGGTCTTGTAAAGGCCTTAAACAAACAATATAATGAATGGATGCTGATTATGATGATCACTCAACTTACTGCACTTGATGATGATATGATGCCAAGAATGATGATACAGGTTGTGGTGAAGGACACCATGTAATAGCCAGATAGGGCAAAAAAAAAAAAAAAAGGATTGCTTTGTCAAGAGGGATAGAAATGGGTGTTGTGTTTGAAGTGGTAGTGTTATAAAGTTTGACTTACAAAGTGACCTGCTCCAAGAATCCAGTAAAAGTGCAAGTTCTTATGTGATCTCTTGAACCCCTTTGTCACTCTTCCCGTCCCACAATACAAAGGTGTCCTCTCCATCCTTAAAAATCTCTTCAGTCCTTTCCACCTGAAATTTATTTTCAGAAAAAGGATCATTTAAAAAATCACAAAATGGTTATTCATTCCCGCATGAGAGAGAGAGAGAGAGAGAGAGAGAGAGAGAGAGAGAGAGAGAGAGAGAGATCTTACTTGAGCTTCTTAACCCATGCTTCAGTCCCCTTAGTTGCACAAATTACATCAAGCTGCATAACATTAATTAAATCAAGCCATTTCGTTAGTTTTCTTTTTTTGTTGCTTTTTTATTATAGTTTTTTTTTTTTATAATCGAGATATCCCACGTGCAATGAACTATTCCTCGGGGTGGTAGGGTACAAGACCAATGCCACCGGGTAAGCCCTCAAGATGTGATCGGCAGGAGTTGAACCTGAGACCTCATCAGTTTAACTGTCTGAGGCCAGAAACTCTCAACCACTCGACCAATCGCCCCATTGGTACTTTTTTATTATAGTTCTACTTCCCATAATACACTTTCCGTTCAAATCATGTCTTCGTTCGGGCTACAAGTACAGGAGGACCAGCCCGAGCTAAATCTTTATCAAAAAGGTCAGTGAAAGGATTCAAAGGCCACAACTTTAGTGAGGTGGTCCATGTGGAATTTGACCCCCTCCAGCTCGGTGGCTTTCCATTGACATGAAAAAGTCTGAAGAAGTTGAAACTTGAAAGTGACCCTGAGAGACAGATATCTTACTTGCCCATTGTATATAGTCACATTCACTCCCTTGGCGAGCAGCTCATCGACCTGAAAGCATTTTTGAGAAAACTATAAGAATTAATAAATGTATGCCTTAAAATCAATACCAAAAGCATATTTGAGCATTGTAAGCAACTATTCACACAACACGTGAAATAAGAAGAGATATATATCAGAAAAGTATGAGAATTAGCAGCAAAAAGACAAGCTTTTGTTTTCACATTTTGTCTAGTAAAAGATAAAGAGATTGTCTGCAGCAAAAGTCGAAATTTCTTGGTCCATATTAGATGTTGCTGCATCTTTCCTTCAATATCCGCATAAGCAAAGGGTCCAAAAACACACATACACACAGGATCAATATTACCTTTAAGACCTAATTAGTCTGTTATGTTTATTCATTGACTGCTCAGCTGTCAAATCTTGACCTTAACAAGGAGTTCTATGCCAATCAATAAATCTGAACCGCCTATGTAGAAGGATTTGAGACGGTGATGTCAAATGCGTTACCTCTTTAATTCTTGGTTTCATGAAATCGCCTCCAAGGGCTGAGAAGACAGAGTCCGACTGCTCTCCCCATCTGCACAGATGAATAATTCATGTGGTTTCATTAGATATGGGATGTCCTCAACAGAATTTTTCAATTCCCGATAAGGGAATGAAAAGGCGCTCACGTTAAATTCGCTGGGATTATCCGGAGCTTCTTTTTGACAACGACGTTCATCAAGGTGTCGAAATTGCCATTATTTTTTGCAGAAGATTTCAAGTAATTCAAGTATCTGTTCATCGATGCTCCTTGCGCGAGTTCCACTGCTTCCATGGACACATGGTCCATTCCCTCATCCAATAGAAAATTGTAGAAATCCTACGTTGTCAAGAAAAATGTGAAAGTACCAAAAAGTTAGAATTTGTTATGTAATAAAAGAACTAATCTTGTTAATCTTGATGCTTTTAGTGTTACATATTCAACTTTATAGAAAAGAATGTATAGAATATGTCGTACCACTGAATTGCTACCGGAGGAGATCAATCTCTCGAGCTCATTCCAAGAAGCTGTGGCCTCCCTATACTGCCTCCTCATTAGCTGCTGCCTAATCTCCTCAGCTACCCTGTTTTCCGAAACCGACTAGTTAGATTACCAGAGATAATCCAATCCAAAAATCATCTTCTTTTTTCCATTTTATTCTAATAGTGAAGATTACAGACCTGTTAGACTTTTTCACATCATTGTCATCAAGTCTTGAAACGTCTTTGAGAAGAGGACCCCACGAAAACTGCAAAAAGAAAGAAAAGAAATGATTTTTCAGATGACGATTTGGATATTTACGTTTATTTTTTTGAAGGATCAAAAGGAATTATTTTGGACATTTCAGGAGTCGTTTTCGAAATATATTCTCACCACAAAGTCTTCAGGGGAGATCCAGCTGTCTCCTAATGCAACTCCTGCATTGAAGAAATAAATCGGAGTCCAGAAATCTAATTTTTAGTGTCTTCTAATACAAAATAAAACAAGACAAATGTTGAAAACCATAAATCTGGGTTTTGTTCTTCCTCTTTTTTATTGAACAATGAAGATAGTATAAATCAGTTCTTTAGCAGCTAAAAAACAGAATTTTATCTTATGATACCTCCAAGCTTAAGCTTCAATTTGCCAGCTTCAATGGCTTTCAGTGCAGACAAGGCAAGAGTGACAGCATATTTCCCTCCATAAGACTCGGCCACAATGTAGAGAGGACTCTTCTGGAGACACTCATTCCTGTTGAATATCTTCCTTAGCAATGTAGTCAAATCTGTTGCAGCTTCTTCATCTGTCTTCACAAAAAGCTTTGGGTCCTCCACAAAACTGTATCCTGTTCCAACGGGGTTGTCCTGTATTTGTATTATATCAAATGAATGTCATACAAATAATTATATAAACGAGCAAATGAGGATAAAAATTCAAATTCATGTCTCATTTATAAGTTGTTCATCATTTTACCACAAACAAGAGATCGGCTTTCTTCAACCATGTCAACTTTCGTGGTTTCAGGCGGGTGTCCAGTGGTCCAATCTCTTTAAAGTTGCCAATCCCAACTCCTGATCCACCCTGTTTTAATTAAAGGAAGTCCATAAATATGTCTCAATGTACATTGTATCCACTGAACACAAGCTAAAATGACATATAATTTCTCCATTCATAATGTTTTTCGCGTTTGGTGTAGAGGGAATTACTGGTCCACCCTGCAACCAGAGAATGACAGGCCAAGGCTTGGAGGGATCATCAACTCTGTTTGGACTTCTGTAGAGCCACCAGAACATGTGTGCTTCTGTGTAATTGCCAAACCAAAACACACAAAAACACAAAGAAACAGATCAGACAATGGAAGTGAGGATTGATTTAATTAACTTATTCTGCATCGATTTCGGGTGGGCTTACTGGGTCTGACTTCGACATAACCCCACTCTTCTGATCCATCCTTTGTTCTTCTTGCAGCTTCGGCCATCCACCCATTGCCAAGCACCAACAGAGACAACACAGTCACGTACAGACTCGCCTTTCTCATTCTGAAAAGGCCCAAAAAACCCAACAAACATTTTCTCCACGGATCAAACGAAAAAGAAGGTCAAGCAGAAACTTTACACGTGCACACAAACTCGCACACTCAAAAGCGAACTGGAATTAGCTCTCTTTTTGTTCTGTTTCACAGCAGATATAACCCAAATAAAATAAAGGCGGAAGCTCCCACCGATATGACGATGTCAACGTTCTTTCCTCAGAGGATTAAAGCATTTCATTATGGGATGCGCAATAGGACAATAGTCATAATAATGATAGCCCGCGAACAACTGAGCTAATGCTACTGATTTACGCCCTGCAAAAAGCATGGCCTAATCTTCTACTTTTGGAACAGTCTGAGAACTTACTAGAGTCGTAGGAAAAAAAAACATGCAACAAGACTAGAATGGTTGCGTTGTGTCCTACATGCCGTGTAGTGTCTGAAATGGCACAGTAGACTTCTGGTGAATCCGAGATGAACTTCTTGTGGTGAATGAATGAACTCTGAATCTTTCAATAGTAGAGATTGCGTGCGGGAAAGAAAAATTCTCTCTCTCGAGGAGCAAACCTGGCTAAGCAGTAGTATATTACAGTTGGAGATTTCTGTGAATTACCCGTGACAAAATTGGCAATGAGTGGGTTTCCCATTTCTGGTACTGTTATGATGATGAAGAGCCAGAGAACATGATCCCATAAAAAAGGAAAGTGGGGTGGCTGGAGCCTGGAATTGCCTTCTCAGGGGGACCAATTTAGGACAAGAGTCTATGGGCAGGATAGTGACATGAAATCAAATTAACATGTCATTGAATTTAGATTGAGTTGATTTGAAAAGGTAATAAATCTTCTTTGTGCTGTCATTTTCCCCCATAGAAATGCATATATGACCAAATTCAAATGGGGATAGATCTAGACAATGATCGTTAGGGTAAAAATACTAAAATGTGCATCGAAAGTCCTAAAACTTGTAACGAATGTGCAATTAAGTCCTAAAACTTGTAATGAAAGTGCAATTAAGTCCTAAAACTTGTAAAATTAGTGCAATTGAGTACTTTCGGGATAATATAAAATGCTGATGTTGTTTTTTTAATATTTTCTCTCTCCTACGTGGTGATGACGTGGCTAAAACGTGAAACATAATATTAGAACGATGTCGTTTTGGTCCAAATATGATTGTGAATGCAAATTTTATTTAAATCAAATTAAAAAATAAGCTAAAAATAATAAAAAGAGGAGAGTTAGAGTGCAGCCCTCGTCGTCGCCGCTACCCCTAGAGGTGGCCACGGGCCGGTTTTGGCCCGAACCGGACCGAATCGGCCCGGTCAAACCGGGCCCGGCCCGTTGACCGGGCCAGCTTGGAACCGGAACCGCCCGTGGCATACGGGCCCGGTTCTGCCTGTTCAGGGCTTGAGACCGAGGAGAACCGCGGCCCGGGCCGGTTTTGCGAAAAAATTAAAAAAAAAGCCGCAGTGTGTCAGCAAACGCCGCAAAGAGAGTGCCGACGTGCGCTAGCAGCCCGTTGCCAGGCAACGGCCAAACCCAAAAAAAAAAAAAAAAAAATTTATCCGCAGCAGGCTACAGAGACGTGCGAGCCTGTGCGGGCTTGCACTTGCGGCCCGTTGGGGCAACGGCTACGCCCCAACGGGCGTTTTATAAAAAAACACATAACCGTTGCAATTTTGCAACGATTATGTTTTATATTTTTAATTCTAAATTTTCTTCTATTTTTTTCCTATAAATTCTCTCAAATTCTCACAATACACACACAATTCTCTCCAATTCTCTTCTCTCAAGTCTCAAATTTTCTCAATACTCGAAATTCTCTCAAATTCTCTCGAAATTCTCTCAATTTTCTCAATCCACACAATTCTTTCTTAATTCTCCCAATTAATCCGCTCAATTCTCTTAATCCATTCGAAAAATGGCAAGTAGAAGTCGAGTGCCAACCGCGCAAAGGTAAGAATATCGCGACGAAATCCCATCATTCTTTTGATCCTCGTGAATATGCAGATTTTCAAGATGATGAAATCAACATTTTTCGCGATGTGGAGCGTCCCGACGCAAGAAAGTTTTCATCCTCCTGCTGAAATATCTACAATAAAGGAAGCGGAACGGGAATTTACATCTCGACATTTGGAATCACTTCACGAAAATGGAAAGGTTTGATATCGGTCAAAAAAGGTATGATATAATTTGTAAATATTGTGGAAAAATATATAAATATACAATGTGGACAAGGATATGGAACATTTAAACGACATCTTATGAGCAAACATCCAACCAAAGCGGGAATCGATATCGGGCAACAACAAATTTTCGGGTACGTCAATCCTAACACTTCCCCTTTATTTCGTTTTAATGAAAAAACTTATAAGAAAGAATTAGGCAAATTTATTTCCGTTGAGCATTTAGCATTTAATTTTGGAGAAAGATTTGGTTTTAATGAATTTGTACAAAAGCATGTGCTCCACAAGCAAAACGTGTTCCTAGAAATTCAATTAAACGAGTAATTAAAGATCTTTACAAAAATGGAAAAAATGATTTACAAAACTTTTTATGCAATTTAATGGATGCGTGCATATAGGTAGTGATATTTGGAGTGATCATTGGCAAAATCATTCTTACATGGGCATAACATGTCATTGAATAGATGACGAGTGGACTATTCAAAAAAGAGTTATTGCATTTAGAGTTTTCGATGATCATCATACGGCAAATAATATTTATAGAATAATTAGGCAAGTTTTAGAAGAATATTATTTGCTTAACAAAATTTTTCAATTGGTTTTTAATAATGCCGCAGAAATACCGCTCAATTGCCGAGTTAAAAATATTTGTAAACCCGCTTTTGGCGGAAAATTTTTTCACATTAGATGTTGTTGTCATGTTTTAAATTTATGTGTACAAGATGGTTTGAAAACTTTTGATATTTTTCTTCAACCAATAAAAACGGCGATTCAATTTTTATGGAAACATCCAAAAAAATGAAAGAATGGGGTAAATTTTGTAGAGATAATGGCAAAAGCCAAAAAGATTTAAGAGATGTTCCAACTCGTTGGAATTCTACTTTCCACTTGCTTAATGAATCTTTAGCATATAAAGATTTATTATGTGCATTCATTTCTAATAATATACCTCAGATTAATTTATACCCACAAGAGTGGCATATTTGCCAAAAATTTTACATCTTTTAAAGGTTTTTAATGATGCAACTTATACTTTGTCTCGGTGTTTATTATCCTACTACACATTTATTTTTAGTAGAGTGTACTAATATTGTCGGAACTTTTGATGAATATGAAAATGATGTTGAATTACAACATACTATAGTTGCAATGAAAATGAAATGGCTTCATTATTATAGTGAAATTCCCATGATTTATTTAGTTGCTTGTGTTTTTGATCCGCGTTGCAAATTGGATGGCTTAAATGATTTTTTGCGTGCGTATTATCAATGTTTACGTTATGATGTGACAAATGTTACAACCATAGTACGTGAGGTTAAAAACGTAGTAATAGAATTATATAATGAATTTTATACTAAATATAATTTAGGTGATATTAGATCTTCTCAATCTACGGAGATACAAAATGACAATACAGTAAAATTAGTAGAGGGTACCAACTTTTATTACATAGACAAAAAAAAAAAAAGGGAGTAATAGGAAATATTTCTGAATTAGAGAGTTATCTAACCATTTTATTTGAGTTTATCGCCGAAGGTGGTACAGATTTTTTATTTTGGATTGGTGGAAGAGCACGCAAGCCAATACCCAATCCTTTCTCTTATTGCAAAACAGATTTTTTCAACCCCTTGTTCCATAGTTGCGGTCGAACAAGTATTCAGGTCGGGAGGGTAATATTTTGAACGAACATCGTTCAAGATTAGATCCAGAATCAGTGGAGATGCAAGCTTGTGTTGCCGATTGGACGAAGGCTCAATACCGGCAACAAGAGATAGATCGAATAATGAATCCGAATTCTTTAACGACGGAGATACTACCGCACCAAGATCGGTCTTGGAACGGTAGTGACGATTGAGGGTAAAAGAACTATTGGAGTTAGCAAATATTTCGGAAACTCTTGTTTCTCATACCGGGTACGCCCACGTGAGCTTAGGAAACCGAAATATAATCCGACGATATGTGACCTCCGGTCCCCTGCGCACGGAATGCTTAGGTTTTGGGATAATTTTAGGGTATATATATTGTACTCCTTTTTTTAAGATCGTTGAACAATTGTAATGTGCTTAATGATAATTTATTAAGTTGAAGCCCTCTCTTTCTCTCTTTGTCTTTTTGTCCCCAAATTTGAGTACAATTTACATTTTAATCACAATTTATATTGAATAATGTTCTATCACAAGAATATTATTTTTTTTATTTTTTTATTTTCATTTCTTTTTTCCTTTTCTATTTTTCTTCTTTTTCTTTTCCTTTTCCTTTTCTGTTTTTCCTTTTTCTCTTTTGTCTTTTTTCCTTGTTTCTGTTTTTTAAAATTATAATTTATATTTTAATTTTTTTTTTTCCTCCGCGGCCGGCCATGGCCGGGCCGGCGCGGAGGTCGCCGGCGTCGGGCGAGGGGGCCCTCGCGGTGTCGCGAGGGCGGCCCTCGCCGGGCCGGGCGAGGCCGGCAAGGCTCGGCCTCGCCTGCAATCGGGCGAGGCTCGACCTCGCCGGCGCCGGGCGAGGCCGGCCGCCCCGACGCCGGCAAGGCTCGCCTCGCCCGCAACCGGGCGAGGCTCGACCTCGCCGGCGTCGGGCAAGGCCGCCGCCCGCCCCAGCGATGGCCGGCCTCGTCCGACGCCGGGGCCGGGCCGCCTCGAGGTCGGCGACCTCTCGCGGCGCCGGCTATGGCCGGCCGCGGAGGAAGAAAAAAAAAAAAAGGAAAAGGAAAAGAAAAAAACAGAAAAAAAAATCGAACCGGCCCGGAACCGGCCCGGTTCACACTTGGCCACGAACCGGAACCGCCGGTTGAACCGGAACCGGTCGGTTCCGAACCGTGGCCACCTCTAGCTGCCCCACCATCGCCGGGAGGACTGGCGACCCTTGCTGACCATTCCCCCACCATTGCCGGCCCTTCCTAGCGATTTAGGGGGCGGCAACTTTTTAAAAAAAAAAAGCTTATATTTTAATTTAATTTAAATAAATGACATCATTTCTACCCACATCATCACCACGTATGATAGAGAAAATAATTAAAAAAAGCCATATTAGCATTTTTGTCAGCTAAGTTAAATGGAGTTAACGGAAAGACACGATTTACCAACTTTTATTCTACGATATATCCTATTAAGTTACCGCTTTTTTTAATTTGTCTTGCTTACCAACTTTTCTATTTTCCATTTTTTAGAGAAATTACGAAGCTTGAGTGATAACCGACTTTTCTCTGATTAAGTTATATCAACTAATTTCTTGTTGCAATTACCAAAGTTTATTCGATTTTTTTTAAAGATTACTAGCTTCTCTTATTAGTGATTAAAAACTCATCTTATCTTTTTCCCATGTCTTAAATTGACCCACTGCTGTATGAAATTATGAACCCCTTCGTGAGACTCATCAATCTTTCTCTAATTAACTTGCAAACTAGTTTTGGATTACTATCTTTCGTTTAATTTGCTGAACATGTTACAATGATT